ATGTGCTTCTGCCTTCCCTCCGAATTTCCACGTCCACCAGCGTGATTTTCAATAAAACATCCATCGGATCAACGTGAATAATTCACATGGAGAAGGTTTCGGTCGCGAATACGTGTCCGCCCGTCTCATGTACTTCACTTCAATATTGAGTGGAGGAACAAACAAAACTAATAACGGACGGGACACCCTTCCGTGCCGATATCCGTCAGATCAGATACAGGCGGAAAACAGAACGCTTCTTTGTCGTCAATGTCATTTTGTTATGGTTAATTAATAGCGCGTAACGCCTGAATTTTTAGTGGAACACCACTGGTATCATTCACATTAAAACTAAAACTAACTACCAAAGGATGTTTACGTGTATTTTTGTTGGTATCCTCATGGTAACCGAAATTATTCAATATTATTATAAACGAATGCCGCAGGTGATCGATACCTACGGTAACTTTACCTGAAGACCGCTAGGTACGGATCATAAATCATACAACGGTTAAGACTCCATGACAAAAGGAATTTAAGGGAAATTTTTGGAAATAATTAAGAATATTTCATGACCATACTGTAGGTAAATATGTGGCCAGCACATTGAGGCAATAGAAGATAATCGAAAGAAAGAAAGAAGAATATTATTTCGTCCAATACGGCCGTTTTTAAGAATGCAGTAAGAGTTATTAAAGAGACGTCACTTACAATAATTTCAAAGTCCCTTAAAAGTTGCTGTTATTACGACAGTTTAGGTAACAGAAGATCGTTAAATTTTACGTTCTGGCATTTTCCTTCTTTGGCCTACTTAGCTAAATTCGTTTTCTTACGAATCGTATAAGCCAAGTAGTAACAAATTTCATTTAAAATCGATAGATCAATTGAAATGCATACGAATGTGTCTTTTCGAACAAAAGTAATGTAATCAACGTTTGGTCCGCTTCCAAAGGCGAACGATGGAAGAATATCGATACCATTAGGCCTTCACGCCAATCTCCATCACATTATTCAAAGACAGAAGTTGAATAAATAATTTGTATATATTTTTACTACCACGGTTCCCTTATAATCCCAATACATATAGTAGACAGTAGAATGTTGGCTTGTTTATCTTTCGTAAGCTTTTATCAAGGGTATTTACCATTTAAACGTTCATTAATAAGTACATATATGCAACTATTCAAAAGGTTCTTGTTGCCTCTCATCAGCACTCTATGGACGGTTTCGACTGAATATGGACCAACCTAAGTGTTAACGCCATCTGTGGGGAGTTATTTCACTATTTCTGAATTCTTTAATGTTTAAATAAGGATTTCTGACGGATTAGTGCCCTATCTCTACATTTACTAGTCCGTCATTCAGTATTTAATAAATATGAAATTGTCAATTCCCTTTTTTTATCGTATAAAATCAGAAATGATATGATTCATTGTTACTACTGTCGCACCATGTTAAAAAGAAATCTAACCTAACCTAACCTACTTACACTTGACGATTACAAGCACAATCAGATTTTATTAAATAAACAAAACAAACTTTTAACTTTCTTTTATCTTTTATCCTAAATCGTGTCCCCTATTGGCAATAGACGTGCGAGTATATCTACGCGAAGCATCTGAAGCATATTCCCAAGCGATATGTAAACTTTCTCGAAACCGACAAAAAACAGAATTGCCAACAAAATAAATACATTTTCCTCCCGTCCCTGTGGGAACACTACGAAATACCTAAACGTTAGGACGAGAAATGTAAATTGGAGTTGACCCATGCGCAAAATTAAGTAGTCGGTTTTGAAGGCTCTTCATAGGCTCGAAACAATAAATGACGTATCAGGGATGCCGACTGAAAGAGACAAAGAGCTTCTTAATCCTTAAGGAACAATCTCGACGTGAAGGATTAGATAGCGTCATTATTATACAAACCGTTACAGAAATGATAATTATACACAGGTTCATATTTCTTGTAGGTACTTTCAATTCAAGTCCATATAAAGATCTACCCCAAATATTTTTTGCGGATGACCACAGATAGATATCTAATACATGGTTAACAATATTTCTTTTAAGTACCTACAGGCAGTGTATTGCCATCTAGTGGGTATTTGCTATTACTGAAGTATTTTATGCTTTAGACAAGACCTTACTTCTAAGGTATCATCTCGTCTAACTGACGACGATGCAGTTTACATGCATGGTAGGATTGTAAACCATATTAAAGAAGAACTTTGATTAAATTTTTGGTCAGAAATTTATCGATGCTAACAAATGCAGATCGCGATTGCGATGTTAAATCCTAAATATCATCAGCGCCAATAAATTCGTAACTAAATCGATGAAGCTAAAAAAAACCTTAAAACTTTTGGGCGTTTCATTCCCACCAGTCATTAACGGGCAGACCTCCAGACTACACCGGAAGGTAGGACGAAAGGCCCTCTTCGGCCTTCTTTTAGGAATCGTGGGAATGGGTGGGTGGTGGTTAGAGTGAGAAAGATGAGACGGACGAAATAAAGACAGAAGAGAATGAAAGATTATCTGTGGGATATTACTGCCCCATAATTTGCCTAATTGATCCAAAAGAACCACAGAAAAACTTGGACCAAGGTGAACGGAACCGGAATCGAACAGGCGTCCTCCCCAGTGGGAGAACCTCTAGACCATGCCGCTCGGTGATGAAGCTAAAAAAAACTTTTGGGCGTTTCATTCCCACCAGCCACGAATGCTGGATGACGGGCAGTCCCTCCACACTACACCGGAAGGTAGGGCGGAAGGCCTTCTTCAACCTTCTTTCAGGAATCGTGGGAATGGGTGGGTGGTAGTTCGAGTGATAAAGAGAGAAGAGAAAGAAAAATTATCTGTAGGATATTACTGCCCCAGAATTTGCCTAACTGATCCAAAGAAACCACAGAAAAACTTGGACCAAAGCAAACGGACCCGGAATCGAACCGGCGTCCTCCCCAGTGGGAGCACCTCTAGACCATGCCGCTCGGTAATGAAGCTAAAAAAAAACTTTTGGGCGTTTCATTCCCACCAGCCACGAATTCTCGAGGACGGGCAGTCCGTACAGAATACACCGGAAGGTAGGGCGGAAGGCCCCCTTCAGCCTTCTTTCAGGAATCGTGGGAATGGGTGGGTGGTGGTTCGAGTGATAAAGACAGAAGAGAATGAAAAATTATCTATATGATATTACTGCTCCAGAATTTGCCTGAGCGGTCCAAAGAAACCACAAAAATACTTGGACCTAGGCAGACGGACCCGGAATCGAACCGGCGTCCTCTCGAGTGGGAGAACTTCTAGACCATGCCGCTCGGTGATGAAGCTACTAAAGAGCGTCTTTATATAAAATGCAATTTAAGGGAGTATCGCCATCTAGTAGGTATTTCCTGCTACTGAAATATTTCATAAATCTTGTAAGGTTTTTGCTACAGAACATGGATATTATATGTATAAAGTCGCCTTTGGGATCTTCATCTGTCGTGGGAATTCCATTAATGTAATAATATCCCAATAAAGCTGCTAATACCCTTTTAATTCCTAATTGCCTACCTTTCTACACACATACATGTGTATAATCGTTCAGATAGATTGAAAAGAAACAACCCACCTCGCAAAAGAGTCGATAACTGATGGTATTCAACAACGTGTGAATAATCATCTTCGTCAATAGATCAAAAGTTGTAGAGACCTTATTACAACTTGGTAATTTAAATTTGAAATACTTTTGAAGCAAACACGATGCGAGAAAATATTTAGCAAATTCTGGGAACCTTTACCAAGTCTACAAATTAACATTATTAGTAACTTCCTAAAGACGTAGACATTCTGTTGCGCTTTCCAAACAAATAAATCAATTAACCGATTTCACTAAAACTTTTCTAATCAACAAAAGTTCAATTACAGCGGCAAAAAACAATTTGTTTCTTAATTACTTTGATTGAAGATCTGCTTCATCTAAATACGAGTTCCTGTTACTTTTGGAGATTTACTATTGGGAATTAAATTCTATTGTTCTAAAAATACATGTTAAAACATTGATTACGATATGATTTCCTAAAAACAGCTAAAGTTTTAGCTGTTAGATTGCTTAAACAGGATTAAATAAACGTAAAATCATGAAGCTTGAAATTTTGGACAAACGTTCGTTATACAACTGTATCTACCACTGTAAAATGGGCTCAAAATACTACCCCTAATGGTGTAAAATGGGGATTTACCATAGATATAATTGAAAGTTAATTACATATAGCTTTATATTATCCTACAGATAATACCATTACTTATTAGGAATTTTTTCCTTAATTCATAGCGGATCACTGCATAGCATTTCAACTAAAAGTTTTAAATGGAACTGTAGCTTACCAGTACAAAGCTCTCTTCAATATTAGTCAGCCATTTCCACATTCCTAATATAATAAATCCATTCACTGATCGAACAAATGTTTATTACAACACTTTAACAAACACAAGTCCTTATCAACGATCAAAAGCTCACAAAACTATCAAATGTTATTTTCGCGTTTTAATTTGTTTAATTACAGCATTAATTTAACGTCCGTATTCATGAAATGAACCGGCAAGCCACACTATACTTATTATAACAAACCTAGACTATATAACCGAAAAGAGAAAGGCACGTCTTTATCTCAATTGTATATACACAACCTACGTAAAAATAGACTCATTTTGTTGACCTTTCAAGGGCATAGGCAAACAAATCTGAAAGTAAACGGTTCTTCAGGTCGGATAAAAATAGCCCACGATCGGTTAACTCGTTTGCAACAACTTAAGCAAAATTAAATTAATAAATAAAATAGAATATAAAACGAATGTAACAAAATATACTTACAATAGGCATTTTCATATTTAGTACATACCTATTTGAATGCAAATTGAAAAAAAATTTTAAAATAACTGTTATCATAACAGAAGATTTCTCGTTTCAGTAATGTCACAGGCCTTAGTAACTGTTCTATTATTTCGATCACGAGCAGATTTATTTTCCATTTTCTTTTTGTTTTTCAGACTCTTTACGTCAACGCGTACCTACACTGGGTTGAATTATGCTAGGATCGGTTTTTGGTTCTGGAATCTGCATATTCCGTGGAGGATGCTTTGGAAGAGTTGAATGATCAGAAGAAGGTAAGTGAATAAACATTTGGTATCATTATTAAATACAAATGTAAAATAAAACTATGTTTTGAAGAAGAACATAAGCAACAAATAGTGAAATGATATTTCAGCTTATTTAAAAACATATTTAGGATGCGAACACTTCTTTTTTTAATAGATATTATTTGATACAACTTATTTAAAAATTTATTCATTACGTGAACACTTCTTTTTTTACTAGATATTATTTCAAAAATATTGTAGAAGTTTGTGCATATGTAAAATTCTAAGATGCATCGTCATATTCGGGTAACATGTATCTACATATATCATATAGATAAATTATAATTCATGTTCTCCACAAATCAAATTTACAATCGAGGTTTCAAGTGCGCCCCCGGTGCATCCATTGTCAAGTGCTTATAACAGAACCTGACCGAACAAAGCCGTGACGTTGAGGAGAACGACAATGAGGATTGCATTAAAAAACCGTTGATATGGTGCCATGCTCGTCTCTCGAGCCGAGTTTCACGAGTGCATTGTGCATTTTCGTGAAGCTTGATGTACGCTCGACTACTTCACTTCAAAAAAAAAGCAAAAAAAAAAGTGCTCGTCCTCGACAGCGTTCGATTAATAACAATTCACACCGAACGACGGTGTCACTTGAACAGACGAATAGAATTTATAATTTGAAGCTTAAGCATATAAAGTAAAGAATTTGCTACAGTGTAACACACCAAAAGTTTTGTTTTGTTGTCGTACCGATATCACAATTATAATAATAGATATAAACACTAATAATTAAGGAAGCAGCTAAATATCAGTCGGTGTCGGCGAAATTTTAATGCTCCTACGTTGAAAGTTTTAATCGTTAAAATCTATGGCGTGTGGCGTCTTCGATCGTCATAATTTTCGACAAACGTAAATGGTCTAGCGGTATCGATATCCGGCTGTTACGCAAACGGATCCTGGCTCGATGCTCGGCCCTTGCTGTAGCTTTTTTCTTAATTTATGTTTATTGACCTTTTAAGTACTAACTTCTTTTTTAATATTGAGTAAATGTTTATTGTTTCATTGCAAAAGATCATAAGGTTACGAAGTGGCTCATTTTCCTTATTTCGGCGAATAATTAATTTCATGGGATTTATTCTTACATCCAACCATTCTGTCTTCTATAATCTGGAACATATGTGCATAATATTCCTTCTTGTTCTTCTTATTTTTCTTTTTCTCTTAAAAATGGAATATGTTTCCTAATAGAAAGAAGCCGACGCTTGATATCTATATGATAAACAAATTGTTCTGCATTTTGTGTAGGTACTGCTTCTTTTACGACTTTCCGATTATCTGCGGATAATATCGTATCGTCTTGTTGAGCTGAATAAGATCGTATTTCCAAAGTAATTCCTTTATTTTTAATAACGATCAGCGCCGTCGCCATGGAATAACACGGTTGCTACTTTAATATAAAAAGACCTAAATCTTCGAGAAACCCACTTGGACTCAAAATTAAACACTATTTTTAACTTTTAAAAGAAAAGGAAGCCAGCACGTGATTATTTTATTATTAAATATCTTTACATATCGAGAATATTAAAACTGTAACTTAGTGATAATGACGGTCTCCATTGCGTATATTGGAAATCGATTGATGCAAAACTGCTTATGAATGTGGAACATTGTATATGTGGTCTCATACAAATGACCCATTTAAACCTAGGAGTCCAATTTTCTCTGCGCGGCCAAGAACTTTAATTGCTTTAGTTTGCGGAACCGTCAAACTTTAAGATTAACCCAAGGAGTTGACGAGGAAAAGCCAAAAACCAATTACTTACTAAAGAGGTAGGCATGTGACGGAAAATATGATCGTCTTAAACTGAACTCATTGTCAGTCACATTTATTCAAAGAAACTATGACGATAATTATAGTTTTATAAGAAAACCTCCAATAATGATACGTTTCACCCACTATTAAACGGAAAAGTGATCCCTTTTTTGAGAAAATTGAGTTCATAAAAGATAATAAGTTAAACAATCGCAACATCAGGGGTGGGTGGTAGTAAAACACCGTAAAGCTGCATCTAATATTAATCCATTAGGTAGAATACATAAAGCTTAAAAGATAAAAATTTGATGGAAAATGATTATATCCGAAGGATAGCGCTGGTAATTAATTAATTATTTCACTCTTGAGTTAGTAACGGTTTAAGTGATCGCTTAAACCACAGTTAAGGTAATTTTGCCCAAATTATAAGGTCGTTAAGTATATTAGTCGTTAACTCAAAAATTATTTAAAAGGTATCGTGTTCATATTTCTGATAATTACAAGAACAGTAGCAGGTAGCATACTCTTCTTAGGCAAACTTATGATTATTTACTTATTCTGAAAGGTTAGAGCTCGTTAACTAGATTCCTGACAAATAAAGTCGATTTTTAAAACACAATCTCATTTATTATTTTATTTAGGTATTATATAAGTTAACACTCTTTTTATTTTCAGAAATGAAGAGCGAAATCCTAAGCTGTACACATGACGACATATATTTCTTGGAAACAAATGACAAAACAAGGGTAAGTCCAGGAAAGGTGCAATCTATTTTTCTTTTCCACCATTCTTACCATCATATAACAATAGCAATCTTCGTTTCTTTGATACACAAACTTTAACGCAAAGTGATTCGACCATGAGCTTTTCTTTATTTCATGTCTCTGCAGCTTTCTCCTTAGCTTAGACTTCTTCTAATAAGTTGTCGTCTCCAATTTTTACGTAAGCTCTAAATCATAATTTCTTATTTATGTTTTATTTTTATTTATTTTCATTTCATACAATAGACGAGAAAAATGATTCGTCATTTGTTACACATTGTTTTAGTTCTCGTATGCAGACACGCTCGGCATCTTCATTGTTTCCAAACAATACTTGTCTTTCCCTATAGGTACGGTAGTATTATTCTCTTTATGACGTTGTTTACTAGCTACGTTCAGAAAAAATGGAATCCCACACATAACAACATATACATTTGCATTATTGAATGACATTGTTGTTTATTTTCAGGGTGCGAACATAACGAACATTTTTGTTTCCAACCCTGAAAAGCAAATATCCAAATGCAAAACGAAGAGGAAACTGAAAAATAAATTTCATCCGACATTAGAGGTAACTGATTTATTATCTACGGTAGATTCATACACATTTACACCAAAAAGGAATCTTTATAAGTTTGAGTATAAAATAGGCATAAGTAATTCAATAATCAGTAGATTTAATGACACAATAAACACAGAGTTCAAACTGTAAAGCCTTATTGTTACTTACACCACACCTGACGCTGATAAGGGGATCGAATGAATTCTCTAGGTCTTTCGTCGATTGTATCGCGGTAATACTACGTAACAACCTTTATAAGATGCATTATTTAACTGGGCCGCATGAGGCAGTTCTGCGCGGTGCTTCGGAAACTAGCACCACAAAAAATGGATCATTGAACTGCAACCAACCTAGCTAACTGGTGTTGAAACACTTCTCCCACCTGAACATGAATAACTAAGACACTTTTTTTTTATTATTAAGATATTAGAAAAGTTATTGACTTCAATTTTCGTATTTATCTGGATCAGATTTGAATTCCAATTATTCTGCTTAACTCGAATGGATTCCCTTTTTTATTTCATTAGGTAAAGAACGAACTCGGCGTTCGTTTGCGAGAATCATAAATAAAAATCGAATTGATGCGAGAGTACACCTGCCCTCTCTTCCACGTGGCGACATGCAGGATACTGCAGAATAAAGCTCATAAAGACTATATAGCTTTATATTCCATTTCGTTTTCAGCGAAACTACGTGAGAGAAATGCGTAAAAAGAAAAATGATAATGAGGACGTGGAAGGGAATTTAAAACTGCTCAGGACTTGAATTTAAAGGGCTTTATTGGAATATATAAAGATGTGGTCGTAAATGTCAGATCAATTTTTATATGTCTATGTGTTTAAATATAAGTAGATATTTTGAATTATTAAACTATAAGTGCGTCAATTGTAGTATACTTGAATTATTGTATTTTATTATAAATGTTTTAAATCATATTATTGTATTAATTTGATCCGCTAGTCATAAACTGAACGATGAGGTACCAAAACGTCATTGGTACAGACATAGACATATATAACTTATGGTGCATCATCCAGGGAAATCTTATCGTCCATGTTTGTCGTAAATAATCCATTGAATTACGTATAGTATATAATGAATTATTTAATGAAAAGTATGTTTTCCTGCAGTCGCAGGGTTAATATTTGATGAAAGTTCACAACGATCCTGTATTAATATGTACACATATTGAATAATTTTAATCCATATTTAAGGCTTTCCTCATTCCCTTACCAGCATTACTTTCTAATCCAACATTTAAAATTAACTCCAAATGGTCGAGACACTTGAATTTCAAATTTTCGTAGTGTTTAGTTTAGAAAATTTAATAGCATATCGATAATAGAGGAAATCTGTCTGAAAAGCAGAAGACCAATCATAGGTGTGCTATTATTATTATCACTAATACCTGGATACTGATAAGAAACGATTTTTGCCTTCTTGAATAGCTATTTTTGAGGTAAACTATAAAGGTCCGTCATTTTCGATTTGTAATAATTTCAACAAACAAAAAGTAATTTTCGAAGGAAAATTTGTATTTCTTGACACATTTTAAAAAGATTCTGTGAAAGATTCCTTTTAAAATTCAACCAATCTAGAACTAGTATAGCGGTTGTTTGTAGATAGGTACACAATGCGACCCCTTTATCTAACAAACCGTTCAATAATTCTAAAATTACTTTTGTAATAGCAGTCGCGTCTTCAATTCTTCCAACTTGAAGAGAAACGTTTGTGTGACGGGTGAATTCACAATTTCAATAGCTTTATGTCGGACTTTAAGTCGTTTTCCTTTCGGATCCTTTAAATATATATATACATCATATGGAACCACTTCCTTAATAAAAAACATTAATTAAGTCCTTGATGGTCAGTAAGATCTCAGCACACGATAGTAAATAAATAGAATTCTTTTCAATTAGCGACAAACAGGAGAATTTCATAAAGTTTTCTTTGTATCAAACTTATGGTTATTTATTATTATTAAATGGTTTAGTTTATGCAAAATGAAGCATTAAACTCCCTTACAGTTTCTAGCAAAAGTTATAAATCCATGTTCCCATATAAATAGTATACCTCGACGGTAGGTAAACTCGGAAACTTATATCCTTAATTAAACTAACCTTAATAAGGGTTCCAGATTGTATTAATTCCTGCCTATTACCTCTAGTGACGCTGCATGATGTTATATTATTAAATCCTTTCGTAATAGCTTATCGTTGGCGTCAAAGCTTATCGAGCCTGCCGCCTCCAAAGTATTTCGAATTAATTAATATCAATGGTCAACTTTCTGATATTTATAAATTTCAGGATCGCGCGAGCAAAACAACTGCAGTTTAAATTTGTTTTTCAAATTAATGAAGCTTTTAGTCCTTACATACGTGTATATATATATTGATTTTGGACGGAAAATCTGGTTTGGATGCCGCAACATTGTAGATCTAACATAAAATAACTTGCCAAATACTACAGCTTCGTTTTCTTCACTAATTGATTTCGAAACATACGTCTGTGACATGAAATTAAATTGGACAGTTTCGTTGCAAGAATTTTCCGGTAGTTTTTCTCAAGGTTTATTCTGCTGTAGCCTGTAAGTACACGATACGGTGTAGTTTCCTTAATATTCATAATGAAAATTAACAATAAACTTATTACAAATGGTCGCAGTTACTTTTGGGCAGTTTACTAAATTCTTCTGAATAAAAACATTAAATTGAGGAGAAATTAAGGATCTGTAATGAAAATATTCTTACATGGTTACAAGGCTCTTGCTGTGGTGCTCGATAATTCTATATCAATCAATGAATTAAAATGGACTTTAAGAGCAGATACTTCTTAATCACATTCCATACATATTCCAACTAATTCCTTTTTAAATTCGTTATTTGCAGTTTTTCGCCGGAACGGAGACGTCGAAAACTACAATGCCATCAAAAGCGTCAAGAAGCGTCGCTGTAGCGAATAACGGAAACGACCGACGATTAGATAGTGAAAATTGCAACCATTCACTGTCGACGCGGATGAAATCGTCCCTGGAAGATATTCCTAACAAGTCGTCGCGACGGCATAGTTTGGAGATGTACGAAGAAGCCGCAAACATGCTCGGATTAAGCTGTTCTCAAACCAACAATTGTCGGTGTATAGAATGCCAAGTGAGTACCTTTCGCAAACTGTTCAATTATGTATATTTGAACTGCATTTCAACGTCAATTGTTTTGGCGTAACAGGCAGTCGACAATCTAATTGTATTTTCGAAACTAAATATAATTAATACGAAAAACGGACTCTAATAAGTAAATTAATAAATAAACTCCTAGAATAGGCACGTGATTCAGAGAAGTCCATGTTTAGGCCAAAATTTCGTTCTCGTACTTCCTTGAAATAATCGGATGTTTTAATTCTGATATAAATGTTTGTTTGATTGTTTGTTACAATTTCACTCCTTCACTACTCAACCGATCATCATGAAAGTTTGAACACACATTGTAAAGGGTCCAGAAAAGGATACAGACATAGACATATTCAAAAAAAACAATACTGTTCCCAAAAGATAGAAAAATCAGTTTTATATGCTCGTCACTGATCTTTGACATGTATCAAGAATATCGACGCGAGCCAAGCCACGGGTAAAACCTATCATATTCCACATATTGTCAAAAATACAAAAAAGGACATAGGAAAAGACATGCTTATATAGGGAAATAGAAAAATTTGTTTTATGTGGTCGTTGATGATCATTAAGGATATTCATACCTAGTATGTATTATGTATGCAGTATTTTTAATTGTTATTAAAGACACTCTGTAGTTTTTGGTGTAAATTTCATTAAAAATAAAGAAGAAAATACTAAATCCGTTCCCTGTACACGAAGGAAAACAAATAAAAGTTGGAGTTACAGCCCTCGCCACCACTTTCATCTGACCCTTCTCAAATTAAATCAAAGGGATGTTTTTATTACGCCTTAACAAGAGAAGTAAACACACTGGGTTGCTTGAATTTTACAAACTACCTAAAGGAAACTCACAACATAGCTACTTTCTTTGTTGTTACAAATATTTTCACAACATAAATAATAGTTCATCAGTATAGATAATCAATTTAGTATTTCTTGGAAAATGTTGAAAATTTCAAGTTTATTTTTAATATGATCTCAAAGTGAATACAATAAAAAGAAAAGAAACGCTTCTAAATGTTTCAATGTAAGTACTTATAATGTGTTGATGTTTCGGGTAGTTAACCCTTAATCAATCAAGACTAATTCGTTAATACACTACTTATGATTACTCAAATAAATACGGTGAGTAAACGTGCTTCTAAATTTAGCAGCTAAAAGGAAGAGGATTTTTTTATAGCAGTCCTGAGTGCGTAAAGGGTCAGGTCAAGGAAGTAACATAAAAGGACCTTATAAATTAGAAAAGTCTATAACTCACCGTTGTATGATAAAAATATAAATGAAATGAATAATCTATTGTTAGGCCTTTTCAAGCATGAATCGTTTTTCTTTTGTGTCAACATTGAAATATTTTTAGAAAGAACTTTTATTCTTATTGAAAGTAGTTTTGTTGAAAAGTCCCCCACAACGTATTATATTAATGTAGAGACCATAGGTAGGATATTTTTCTCATGGATTTATTGTGGTTGTGTAATGTTCGTAGGTAACAAAATTAACTTCTAAGACTGATAACTACAAAACTATTTATTTACACTAATTATTAAGGAACTTAAAAACACTACTAAATTATTACTAAACTTAGGTGATCAATCATTCTATTTATTTACACTACTGTTGATACTTATATCACTATCCACTGCGCAATTTATTTCACTGCTATCACTGTCAATTTATTTCTCGATTCACTTCTGCTACGATCAATTTATTTCTACTTCCCTCGGCGATCGTCTCTTCCTTTAAATACTCTTTTGTTTACTTTCGGGAACCTTCTCGAAACGACCGGATAGTTTCTTTTTTTCTTTGAACTGTTTAACTGCTTTCCCAGAACGCAGGTACGACACACACATTTACAAATACGGCGCACATGAAGAAAGGCGCCCGCGGCTAGTCGGCGAATCGATAAGCCGTTCACGCACACGTGTGCCCGATCGCACACATTTTTAATAAGAAGTTCTTTTTCTTATAAAAAAGTTAGTCATACGTATCTTATTCTTAATTTTAATTCGCAATACTAACGAATTGAACCGGGAAGTCGTTTAAGTTTAATTTAACATTTAAAACTAAAGTAAAGTATTACTACAGTTTTTTGCAATATCCGAGGTGTAAAAGTTTTCATAGCTCATGATTTTTCATCTTATGATCTACAGAGTCAAGTTTGATTGACTATTATATGTTTTACGTCGTGTTTGCAGCTGTGGTAGACGTTATCGAAAATATTTGATAAATGTCTTCTTAAATCGAAGTGATGTTTTTGCCGGGAGTGAAACGTTAAACTTAATGGCCAACCAAGCGACGACGTTGAGAAAATCATAAGTCGGACGCAGTGTCCACAGAAAACACGGCAGGTTTTTTAAAAGTTTAATACGTAGTCATTGGAAATAAACCTACCTAAGGGTTATCTAAAAAATGTTGACTCCATTAGACTTTTGAATGAAGTGAATCCGATTTGGAAAAAAGTTCACGCGTTCGAACCGTAGTCGATTAACGTTTCGTCAATTATATCGTTGTCTTCGTCAGACAGTTTGAGTCACCTAGTCTTATACATAATTTTTACAACAGCGTAAAACATTACATGTACCTGCATCACAGATCAAACGTATCAAAAATTATTATATCTCATAACAAGAAAGGTCGTATTTACAAAGGCCATGGTGCCGAACATTTTTCACCAAAAGGGTAAAGGTGTCTGATAATCCTGAAGGTCACGGAATATTGAAAAACTACCCACATAGCGGGTACCAAAGATTCTCTTCAACAAACTATATTATAAATCTAAAAATGGTAGAATAACTAAATTACTTGATTATCAGAATTGTCGTATGATATATGTATACTCTTACTAAAGTTTGTTACTTTCTACAAAAATTTTTATATTTATTACCAATATATAGTTAGATATTATAACTTCAATCTTTATAAGGTCGTCAGTCCTAAGACTGGTTGGACACGCACCTCCACTCTTTCCTTTCCTGAGATAAACTTCGCATTTCCTTGAACTATTAGAACATCCCAGAACAGTAATCTAATCTAGATCTACCCTCAGTAAATGTGAAGCATTGCCCTGCCTATTTTATTTGTAGTTTCATTCCCTTTCATTTAATCTTAAAAGTAGTTAGGTAACTCTACTTTATTTGAAGTACTCGTCGAGTTTACTGATACTTCGGTTAAGAAATGTAATAGGTATTTTAGTTTAGAAAGTAATGTATTTTCGTCTTTCCAGTGCCATTACTTCGACTATAACGAAGAAATCGATTTCGAGGACGAAAGCGATTATTTGGTGGACCACGCGTCAGCCTGCACGATCCAATAACACCCCCAACGATCAGCCATAACTGAATGGTGGAAACACTTCTAAATAACATTGACACTTTATGCCTTTTATATTCTTCTTATGATGTGAAATTTAAATAACGTTTAACTTATTATAATTATTGTAAATAAAGTTGTGAAAATATTTTATTCTATTCTCTTTCCGTTATTTGTTAGAAAATACTATATTTCTGTAGGTATAGCGAGTATAAATGCCTAATAAATTATGTGAAATTATCTACAACAAAACAAAACACATAAAATAAAAAAAAAGTAGTTTCGGGTAATCGGTAGTCACCTTGAACTTTAACGGTTGCCAACTTTTACCTGCTGTCTTAACAGTGCGTTTTAGAAAATACTACAAATGGCGCAGTAAACGCCATCTGTAGCACGATGCTACATTTTAGGATTACGTAAAAGTTGGTCTGTGTTCTGTCGGAGCTGTCTGCGACGCGCTGATGAGATCCAAAAAGATCGAAATCGCGATCCGCGTCTGGCAGTTTCGACAGAATACAGACCACNTGCAATTGTAGTGGATAAAATGGCCAATTCTTCCGTGCAGTACTGTACGGATTATACGCTCCTCACCGGTTAAGCGTTTGGCCGAGAGTTGTCTCCTTCCTTTTCTGGCCTAGTGCTGTTCTTTTCTACTTTGCGCCGGTCAAACTGAAGATCACATCGCTACAGAAAGTAAACGAAGTATAATACAATAGGTACTGTTTACTATTTCTTACACAGCAGTAGGTATTATATTTCTATCTAATCTGTAGGTACTGCAATTTTCTGCCAGTCAGTGATGAAGTAGCTTCACATACATATACATATACTTATAATAAGTATATAGATAACAATATTTCTATTCATAAATCAGCTAACTTACAATTTCTTCCCGGTTGCGCAAAGCAAAGGGAAGATAATGTGTTTCGTGCGTATCTACAACGTGAATGTGTCTGATTATTTATTTATTTTCTCATACCATCCAAAAAGCTATATGGCTTTTGATAAATGAGAAGTCGTAAGGCTTGTCTCAATTTTGAGATTGCTGCACAAAAATTAAATTGTCAGATTTAGAGCGATTATTTTCTCAATTTAGTTGATAGAGAGAAAAATTAATAATTCTCCAAACAAAGCATTGTTTTAATATCCCTAAACTAAAAGAAAACCTCAGGAAATATGTATACCTAATGTTTAGCATAACCATAGTTGTAAATAAATAAAATTATTTCATATTTATGTAGTGTTACCTATTCTTTTGTTACCTATTATTTGCCTTTTTTGGTTCAAAGCACTTAATTTAACTCAATTTTCTACAGACTTATAAAAATATATTAAAGCAAGGATTGTACTTATCCAAATCAATAAATAAATACAGATCAAATCAACTAATGAAATACCTTTACAGCCAGCAATCCTCCTTGATTTGAGTACACTTAAAACAATTTGATTTAAAAAAAAACCGATTCAAAAAGCTTGTTGCAAGGACTAATTTATTATTACTAATTAAATCGTCCCCGGACTGAAACAGTCACATTTCTCGACCTCTACCAAACATTCACGGAGTACTGAAAATTGTACTATACAATAACAACATCTGGTTCAAGAAAATAACAATAATAATAAGGAAAGTTAATATCTGGTAAGTAACAGTCAGGACATCAGGCGTGCAGGACATACATCAATCGTGCAGGATATTGCCATCTGCAGAAATTGCCTGCTAACCACATGGTATTTCATGAAATGTTAACCAAGAAGAAACAAAGAAAACTGTGAACCAATAAGTTTTCGTAATAAGCAAAACAGTTCTCAAGTTTTCCAGTTTTTCTTTTTGTAACTTTAATGTTGTTTTCATTTAAATAATATAAACATCAATTTTCACCCTATACATTGGAAATATATAACTAATATAGATAATAATAATATAATAATATTTTACGATTAGTTGTTAACTAATAAACATCAATGTAGATTGATGCTCGGTCGAATAATAAAAGACCCTATTAAAATTTAATTAAAGAGATAACTATATGGATCGTTAGTATCGATTGTTGCTGCCGTCTTTTCTTAAAATTGATTCATAATCATTTCAAGAAATAATAATATGATAGTTTCATTCCTATTTTATTAACGTAATTACAATTTCACTTCAAGATTCAAGATTAATCATTATCCGAGGAAGCTATAGTATCTAACAATGTACAGTAACAATAGATCTTTCCTTTTTTATATCCACTTTCGACTAGTTTAGCCTAGGAGAGTAAGTGATACAGATTAGTTTGACCTAGGCAAAACTGGTTAATCTTAAAATCAGGTTCGACCGGTAACAATTAATAAAAAAATAATTATTTTAGATTAGGCACAGCTAGTTTATTCAGAAATCGGGTTTAGGCGGTAACAGACCCAAAACAAACCAGTTTGGTCTAGGCTAAGATAAATTAGTTTAGCCTAGGCAAAGCCACTTTGTTCTGAAATTGGACTCGACCGACAATATTTTGTATACTAAAAAGCTCAAAGCTCAATTTCTCTTTCAAATAGTTAAGTATAGGCAATTATTATTCGAACAAGCATTGTAAGACTTTTAACCAATATGTTCTAATTCATTTAGAAAACAAAAATACTTAATACGTCTGTGTATTAGTTAATTACATTCCTAAACCACAAATTGGCATATTCTACGCCCTTGAAATAATAATTTGCCCAAGTCACATAATAAGTATAAAATTTTGAACGTTTTTAATGTATTTAAAAAATGTGGTCTCTTCTAAGGTTTAGGAGTTTAGTAAACATTATACCTTAAAGTTTAAGTTTTCAATCTCAAATGGCAGACCATCCAAAAGTACTCGCTACCTATGCATGTAATACAAGAAATATTTAACTGATTGGTCGTCTGTTTTTTTTTACGATAATCAGTTTTTTTAAGTCACAAAACTGTTTGGCAATTTTTCGCGAATATTTTTTTATACAAAATAAAGTTTTCTTTATACATTAGAAATCTCATTCAAAGATTAAGAAGGCCATTAATTTGTGCATTTTTTGTGTAATATAGACAATATCGCACACCCGTTATACAAATCGCACATAGACACAATCATTTATACACATATTTAAAGGTGCTTCACGTAGTCATTTTAAGGAATGATAAGCTCTTAATCGTAAACTTAATTTTCCTATTTCCGTATGAAAGAAAAGGAAACTTAAAAAATATCTCGCTTCCCTTAAAAACGGTTTGTTGGTCTGATGCTAATAATCAACAAGAAAAAAAAATGAAAAATTTTCTAAATCACAAAAGGGCTTGTTACAGTACAAAACTCTGACAGGATTCTCGCAAATGTTGGATTCACATTTAATAGAAATCAGACGTATATAATATGAACTCGAGTTACTTATAAAAATTCGTTTGCATGTAGATTTTACAATAATAAAATAACAACTTTATATCGTAATAAAAGTAAGAAAACGGAACATTTCGTGGACAAATGGTTTCATCTTCGTTTGTTCTTGCATTTTATACTCTAAGCGGCTAAATTTCAGGCCCAAGTCGTCTAGATGGCAGTACTTATTGAAGAAAAGTAATAGTAATTTAATAATAATAGTAAAGTATTAATAGTAAAGTAAAAGTAATTTACAATTTAATTGTACGTACAAACGTTTTGGTCTCGTTATTTACGCGTTTCTTACAAAATTAGATTCACATTTTCAAAATAAATATAAGTACTTACTGAAAGGTAAAGAAATACTTAAGATATACCTATGTAATTAGTGCAAGCGCTTTTAGAAATATTAGTAGGTACATTACATCATTAATGTGTCTACTTTTTCATATCAGTACATATAAACAACTGTAATCATTACAGTTTAGTCCTAGTTTACCTTACCTACCTTGCAAGTGTATTGTACATATTATGTACATTTAACTCTTACTAGCTAACATTCACATTATCTTAAAAAACAATTTGGGTATTTAATATTAGGTAATCCGTAGGTATACATAAATAGATCATAAACTATATGTTGGCACACCGATGGGTTCAATCAACATAAAAGGAATATTAGAAGAAAGTATTTCACAAAATCAGACCTAAGTAGGTGCATGACCGATTCACTGTTTAAAATCTAAATCAAAAAATCCATTTTTTTCAAACCTAAAAGATCGCTTGTGCGTTTGATTGATATCAATCTCTGTACAGTTTTCTCAAATAAATTAATATTTAAATGTAGATTTAACAATAAATTTGATGTCTTTTTTATAAAGGAATTTTACATTTGGTAAATTTATATCTCAAATTTCATAAGAAAAATTAACCACATTGATAGCAACAATCAACACTATTAAATTTTAGCTACAATTTTATGACTTTTCCTTCTTTAGTGACGAATTGTCGTATGAGATCTTTACGAAAGCACTGTTAAATTCATAACGCCATTTTTAATCAATCACCTAATTATGATACTTATAAAAATCCTATTTTAAGAACACCAATTGACAATTATAATTGTTACTGTTACTACAAGAAAACCATCATGACATTATGCACTTTGTCTTTAGCAACCAGTTTTAAAACTTTATTCAAAGTAACTATCATAAAAAACATTCTTTTTAATTTTGTCAACTGCAAACATTTATTATTAAGAAATCGGAAAACTTTGGTATGAGTTTATTTTGGACTGAGTTGGAGGATGGCATAACAATTAATAAAATGTTATTGAATCTCCTTGATCCTTGCATATCGCACGATTTGGAAATGGACGAATCACATAAACCAGTGGCGTAGCTGCAGGATATAGTAGGTACTTTTAAGGTTCACATAAAATGCAAGGTTCGTCTCTGTTCTAATTTAAACTGAACTTACACACAATATTGGTAACTACCAGCGCAGTTTTGTTTATACTTTTAAGTACCTCCTTATGGAGATTAAAAGTATTCCCGGTAAGACATTTGAGTCTGTAATCTCCAATAAAGGAATAAATCAGAAAGTTAACTACGCCCCTGCACTCTACTAAAAAATTTCCCCAAAGTACCTAATCTTCCCTAAAAATAAAGAAATGTGCCAAAAAGGGGCATTCTCCTTATGTTTTCGTTCATTTACAAAACTTTTAAAACTGTTATAAAAGTTGTATATTTAATTTTTACCCTTCAAAGAACATTTTCTCAATAACAATGTGTTAAGTATCCATCCCCTAGATAAATGTAAAAAGTACTAAAACCAGAAACTGATTGCTTCTTCGTCATGCATAACTGTCTCACGATGAAGACAGTTAAAAAGTAATTTTTCGCCTTGAACTGACCAAAAAAACATGGTTCCAAGTGTTCCCAAGTTGGTCCATGGTTTTGTACTAGATGTGTTAGAATGTTTTAAAAATCAATGCATACAATGTTGTGTAATGTTCGAAGAGATCATTTTTCTATAGCATTTCTTTGAATCGTGGATGTGTGACTTTTGATTATCTAAATTGCCACAGTCCCACTACCGGTTTTTAACAGAACCTTCAAGGTCGATTCATGTTTTGGCTAAAGTACGAACTCAGTTGGGATGTCTCATTTAGTGGGATTCTGCAGATTTTGTGGTAAGTCATCTTCATTTTCGTACATTTCGATATTTTTAATTAATGAAATTTTGGCAGACTATTTTATGATCAAAAAGTTTGATGCTTCTTAGTTGTTGGTACGTAAATTCTTCTAGCCGAAATTGACCTTAATTTAATAGAAATCTACTCTGAAAGTCTGATCAAATAATATTGGTGGGATTGCGGTCATCCAAATGGTTAAAGTCACACTTTGTACATACGCAAAATGCTGTAGAGAGATAATCTTTTCTACAAAATTGTACGCATCGATTTTCAAAATATTCTAGACATCACCATGGGCCATCGATTGAATCCACATTTGCTTATAGCGTCTTATTCTTTCACCTCTGCCCAATTTGAACTTCAACAGTTCAAAATAACCAAAAATCACACCTGTTGAGTCTAATGAAAATAGCGCATTGTTCTTCTTAATTTCGACATCATATCTATACACATACGTAATATAAAATCGCCTTACAAGTACCTGGTATATAATGTATCTATGCATGAATTCATGTATATGTGTGAATGAATGTACGTTAGGTCCTCTCATAGTTATACATTTTAGAGCCATGATGTTCATAGGTAATATAATATTCAGTCATTTTTTTATTTTAAAATTGTTTCAAGTATGAGTAGTACTTATTTAAGCTTACTATACCCTTTTGCAAAGTATCTAACTAGTAAATTCTTGATTAGCGTCAGTTCTTTCTCCCGTGGTGATTGATGATGGCTTAAAGTAAAACGCATGCGGTCCCGTGCATCACTTCCGAAATGAACATCGGAGATCCGGCACCCAAGCCTCCGTCTGATTTGTTATTCTCGTTCTGTTCGTATTCACAGTCGAAATAATGACTTTGACAATCTAAACATCTACATTGGTCGGACATTTTACAGGTAATGCCAAATTGTTTAGCTACAGCTTTGTATAATTCTTTAGATGATTTGTGAAAAATCTTAGGGCCCGCTTCTGGCGTCGTCACCTCCTCTTGGGTATAGTGAGGTTTATCCACACTACTTTCCTAAAAATGGGAAAAAAAGGACTAAAATCAACTAAGTCCGCCAAATATTCTACGAGGAAAAGATAATATTCGCTTTAAAGACGTAACACATTAATAGTAAATTCACACAAAAAAACAAAAATTGATAGATTTATTGAAAAAAATGATATTTTCGACCTTATTGAGACGTGGTGTGATACGTGGAATTTAAAAATACCGTGGATAATAAGAGCAGATAGGCATTATCGAAGCCAATAAGAAATAGGCGAGAAAGATTGGTAGGACACCTTCTCAAGGTACTTCGGTTTTGGAGAAATGCAAGATTTGCCCAAGATAGGAAGTAGAGGTGCGTGTCCAACCAACTATCAGATTGAACACCTTCGATGGATGGATGGATGGATTGATTGATGGTTGTTAGGCAGATGAAAATAAGACAAGCAAAATGAAGAATGATCAAAAAAACAATCATGGTTTGTGGAACATTATTGCAGCAGCATTTACGTACATGGTGCTTGGAATCTACAGAAAGCTTAAAGCCAGCCAATCCTGGATACTGAACAGGAAGGAAAACCGAAGACACTAAGTCAATCAGATATAGGAGAGACAGGTTGGTAGGACACTTTTCCAGGTATGACGGGCTAGATGGAGACGTATTAGAAGCAGAACCAAAAGTTAAGAAGGCCGAGCTAGACTTAGATTAGATTACTGTTCTAAACAAATTAAAAAATTAAAAGGAATACTCACCCCTAATTACCACAAATAAATTTTATATGAGCGGACACGTGTTTCGCCCACTTCACACGTGGGCATTATCAACGCGAGACTGATAATGCCCACGTGTGAAGTGGTCTCCTCCTTCTATTTTGTTCTAAACAAAGTTGGAGATGTACGGTGCTTCAGTCTCGAAGAAATGTAAAGATGTAAATTAATACATTCGACCAACACTGTAGGTAGTACAAAGAGAAGATAGAGCGACAAACCTTCTCCAATCTCCTGTCAGGAATGGTGGGAATAGGTAGATACCGGCTTTATGTTGAAAAGATCCTCATGAATACTAAATAAGAAGGAGAACGGAAAACGCTATGGAAAACAATCAGAAATAAGGGAAATAGGTTCGTTAGACACCTTCTCTGGTATGAGTGGCTAGTTAGAGTCGTATTAGAAGCAGAAGCAGAAGTTAAGAGGGGCAGAGGTAGACTTAGATTAAGTACATTACAGTTCCAAATAGTCAAAGTTGTAGAGTTCTCCACTTTTGGAGAAATGCAAGATGAGTAGAGTGGAGGTGCGTGTCCAAGCAGTTTTCGGACTGAACACGTTATGATGATGACGATCATAACTTAGTTGTAGCTCGGATAACAAACTAAACAATTGACACAGATTCAAAATAAAATTGATTGACTTAAATAATAATAATACTGATTAACATCCTTTTTATAAGTTAAAAGAAATATTTCCTATTTAATAAGAACTAATGTTCATTAATCGCCGATTCTTTATGAATTAGGGTTAAAACGTTAAAAGTTATAAATTGCTTTTAAATAAGATAATAAGTAAGCGATAAAAAAACTTTAAATTTCTTAAATGTTTTACCTCATCTAAAACTCTTTCGTAGGGTGGTGGCGGACTGGAAGGAAAACTATCTCCATTTTCACATTCTTCGGCTATAGCGTCGTTGTCTTGACTGCTCTCGTTATCGGCGTCTTCTTCAGGCAAATCTGCAGAGCTACTTCTCGACGAAGTCTCCGACTTCGACATTTTGTGGAATCGAAACTTAAACGGCGCCACTTTTTCTATTTTATTTTTTAGTCTATTGCAATAGTTGTACAATTTCACCTTCTTCCCATAAAATGGGAGAAGTTGCTGTTTTTTGGGAGATGTAATTGTTGCTAATTTACCTGCTTGGCAACCCCTTAAAAAAAAGGAATGTTTACTTAAAACTATCTATACCTACTTCGAAGTCAGGTAAGATATTTAGTTTTTTAGTTAATAATAATAAAAAAACGCCCTTTTTAACTCTTTTATTGGCAGATATGAAGTTTAGTTTGGCAATTTACAAAAAAAAATTGTAGTCTTTGGAAAACCCATCTTTATGAAACCATACACGATCATTTAGGAAAAACCCTTGACATAATAACTGCTAAAGAGAAAAATAAGAGGAAAGTCATCTTCTAGACAATGTCAATTTCACAATCATGATCAAATTACGGATTTTATCGATTTGCCTTTCCTGTTACTATGTTTGCACAATCTCTGTCACTAGGTAAGGCTTTCGATCAGTTATTTCAATTATCTAATCGATACAAACAAAAGTGCATACTTTATTCAATCAAATGTTATTCATTATCGATAATAGACTACGAGAATATGAATGAATGAAATACACCCGATATTTTAATAGTTTTGTGATGAATAATAAATAAATACTATAATCTTACCTTGGAGAACTCTGATCTCTGTTCACTTGTATTTTACACTCTATTAATAAATAATTAATCACAAGATAATTCCGTTTGTGGCTAAAAACTAGATCTATATAGCGCCATGATGTGGTTGATAAATTATAATGTGAAAACCACCCTTTTCCTTTTCCGTCTACCCCCAAAAGCGCACGCGCTTTAGCTTACATGTACCGAATGTACTGTTACTTTTTATTGATGTTTTGGATGAGAAAATTACTAATTGCGTGTTACGGTTTATTTAATAGACAGTAAAATGTTAAGAAATATGAATGCATGAAGGATATTTATAATAATTATAGTTAGTTGGCTCATTAACAATCTAAATAATCGCTAAATAATCGACTAAATTGGAAGTTGAAATAATTTTTTACCACAAATACATATACTAATATTATTTATTTGGCCTTTTTCTGCATTGAATTGTACTAACTCAATAAATAACACAGATCTACAAATTGGAACATCCTGTTTTTCCCTTGTTAAATTTTAGGACTGTTTTAAGGGCTGCTGATGACCGATATAGGTCAATAAAATTTAAAAAAGTAGTTTAGAGTAATTTAAATTAATAAATTAAAAGCAAAGTCGATTTTAAAGTTCTTTAATAAAAAGTTTTTTGAATTATCCTTGGGTATATTTTAATTAATAAATTATGTATGGGGGGACATCTATATTTAAATCAGCTTATTAGTCTGACATTTAGCATTTTATGTACACACAATTTCTAGAAATCGACTTTAAATCTGTCATTTGTCATTTCATTTCATGATATCAGCAATCTCGAAAACACTTTGTTTGAGTAAATTTTTAGTTAACGTATTTCAAAAAGTTAATTTTTAACATGAAATGGTATGAAGGAGGAATAGCAGAAGCAGTTGCAGCTTCGAAACGAAAAGGAGCAGTATTCGTTGTATTTATTGAAGGTATTTTAAAATGAAGCACAAGTATGAATCATTTACTTAATTGTGAATTATTTTTAGGAGCTAATGATATTTCTAAGTCTTTATCTGACTTATTAAGTAACGAAACGATTTCAAACAAGATAGAAAATGAAAATTTTGTTGCAATAAAAATTGAAGAAAATTCTGTGCCACATCAGCAGTTCAGTCATATCTGTATCCTTGTTATCTTAATTAAAACGTGTTTTCACCTAGTTTTAATGCATATTATTTTTCTTAATTTTTCATAGATAAAGAAGCTACCAAGCCATCATTATATTTTATTGGAAAAAATGGGATCCTCTTAGAAGTCATTAGCAATGAAATTAGTGCAATTGAATTAACTGTTAAATTAGATGAAATTACCCAAAGAAATGCAGGTCCAATTCCTCAATCTAGTTCAGGTATGATAACTGGCTTACATTTTTGCTCCATTTTAATTCTTTAATTTAACAGGAGCAACACAGTCACAAAATTTTATACATTCCGAACAGAAATCTCAGAATGATAGAAGTAACCATGAACAAGAAAAGGAAGTTAGAGATCAACCCAAACGAAGAAACAATACTTCTCCTAGAAGAAGTCCACAAGGTGCTGACAGTTTGCTTCATAAACAAGATAAACCAGAAGTTAGCTCATCAATTGAAACTCCTGATGAACAAGAAGCAAAACTGAAGAAATACCAAGAAACAATTCAAATGAAAAAGGAAGAAAAGGAATTAGAAGAAAAACAGGTTACTAATTAAAATTAAGACATTATGATTGACATTTAATCATAACCAAAGCTATTTTTATATTTATTAATAAACTGTTCAAAATTTTAGCTACATATGTCAAATTTGGTAAGCTTTTTCTTTAAAATACTTTTTTAATAAAAATATTAAACAATAGTACACCAGGGGCAGGCTTTGTACTCTCCTTTTGATTCATTTTAAATTGTAATATGGTTATTTTCATTTTTAACAGAAAGAAAAGGAAGAAGAATTAAAACGGCGAAAAGTCGGCCAGGATGTCCAAAAATTAAAACGATGGCAAGAAGAGCAAGACCTAAAGCAACTTGTAGAGCAAAGGGAAAAGCAAAAACGTGAAGAACAGCAAGCAAGACAACGTGTTTTAGCTCAAATAGCTCAAGACAAAGCTGAAAGAGCTGCAAAGTTTGCAAGCCCAGGAAGCAGTGCCCAATCACCTCCTACCCAACCAACTGCACCTATAACAGCACCTCCCAAGTTATCTTCCAATCCTAATACAGCACGTTTACAACTGAGACTGCCTGATGGTAATTATCTTTTTTTGAAATTTCAAATACATTCATTAACAAGATACTATTAGACAAACATTAGTATTTTAAATTAAAATAATGACAATTTGCAATACCTAAGTTGACAATATTGACATTTCATTCTTATGCAAACCAGAAATAAATAAAATAAAATGAAAACTCCAATACTATTAAAAATTCCTTAACATACTGATCTATACCACCTTCCTACCTTTTCCTATTTCTATTTTATTTACATATGAATATTTTGATTCGTTTTATTTTCACAAATTATTATTCTCAGGAAGTTCCCACACTCACGAATTTGCAAGCTCAGCAACCCTTCAAGACGTTCGTGAATTCATAGCAGCTAATTTGAATATGGCGTTCAGAACCTACACACTTTCCACAATGTTTCCCAGACGTGAATTTTCCGAAAACGATTACAGTCAGACGTTAGCCGATCTCCAACTTGTTCCTAATGCAGTGATTCTTATCTTGCCCATTAACCATACCACAGTAAGCAACAGGAATGGCGGCTTCTTCTCAGTTATATGGTTTTTCTTCACACCGTTTGTTACATTCTTTGTCTGGCTCAAAAGTCGAGTCATGGCATTTGGCGGACCAAACGACGGAGGGACAACAGGAATCACTCCAAGGACCAACTTAAATATGCGGCAAAGTACTACAGATGGTCAAGGGCCTTCTGTGGTGTAAGCTTAATTTATATTTATCTTTTACATACAATATACATATTATTAATATGACCTAAGTCTATGTTAAAAGTAATGTTTCCACATTTTTCTATTACATTGATGCATAATCATATAAGCAATTTATTTTTAAGGAATAAACACTCCAGTGGTGCAGGAAAAGGTAGTTTCGTTCGTCGTGAAGGTAATATCCACCGACTGGTAGACAAAAAAGATAAGGATGATGAAAACAACACATGGAATGGTAATTCTACACAACAAATGTGAAACATTAAATTTTGTTTTATTTATTTTGGTAATTAATTACACAATGCTACGCAACATATTGTTTATTAAAAATGTTCTGTATTATTAATTGATTTAATTATACCAAATGTGATTTAAAGATGTTAACTCATGAATACATGTGTAACTAATATCTACGTTTAGTTTGTTTGGGCATTATCAATTTTTAAATGGATCAGTATTAGCTATTGGTGATTAAAAGAAAACTTTATTACTGTTCCGATTATCACAAGTTCATTAAAGAAAACCTATATTTTATTTAGAGAAACCCCCATACTGTGACTACCATACTACATGTGCATGTTTTTTTATACAATTGCTGTGAATTCCCTATATTTGGTACTTCCCCAGATATATTAAAATAGAAAGTATTATCAGCCTTGTGCTGAGTTAATCTCTGCAACTTAAATAAATCTTGGATTGAAATAATGGATTTAGCATTAAATAGATTTATTAGTAAAATCAAAAATAGAGAGAAATGAATTGTATTACAATTTTAGTTATGATTTTACTAATGAGTATTTCTAATTAGACAATTTAATAATAGTGCATTAAATTAATCTTTTTTTTTTTTCAACAAAATAAAAGGAAGTGAAATGTAATTTTTAAAAACGATTAATTCAGAAATACTGATACAATGAATTATTTAATTTAAAACATGAAAATCACAGTTAACATTCAGTGAAGTTATTTTATTATTGTCTTATTGAATTTCTGCTTGTTTTGTAGTATAAATAGAAATGTCTTCATTTGCAACTGAGTTATTTGGATTTGCAGTGTGCATATTTAGTTTTCTTTCTCCTTTTCTAATTCGATGCTCATGGATGATAATTTCAGGCATGTTTCCAACCAACTTATTTATACTGTTTGGTAGTTTTGTATGATGTTCCTGGGAAACAATTTTCATGGCAGCCGGCAAATAGAATACTTCAGGTAAAATTATATCTTTTGCCTGAGGAAATTGATTGTTAGTTATTGATTCAGAGTACACACTTTCACTCATGTCATTTCTGCTTAGGTGCTTTTCAGGAGTGAATTTTAAATGCTGTCTTCTTGGTGTAATTCCACTGTTTTTGATGTAGAATGCAACTGGACTGGTTATATGTTTATACAATTTGTTTACAGGATTTGAAGTCTTACACTGTGGCTTATTTCCACCACTATTTAATATTTGTTTCTTATAAGAAGAAACAGGTAATTTAAATGGCAAGTGATTAACATCAGTTGTCTTTTTACTTTTAATACTTTCTTCAGAGTTTACTGACTGAGGACTGTACTGTTCATTTTCAAAGTTTTTAGAAAAATCACAGCTGAACTGCTCCACCTCTATAGCAGACATATTTTGATCAACTTCCTTAAAATTTATGTTGCTTTCTTGTGATTTACTCATTGTTTCTGGGCTACTATCAGCTACATATTTATCATCTTCAATGTTATCATTTCCAGAAACTAACCCATCTCTTAATAAGCGTTCCATTTCTTCCATAGTATCATTAAAATTAAATGAGTCATTAGAATTTGAACAGGACTGCTCTGTACTGAAAGATTCATCTAACTGAATTGATTCATCAAGTACCTCTTCAGATAATTTGCTTATTTGCAATATTTCATCCATAATTTTCTCAATTTCACTTTTAATTTCACTATCAGATAAATCACAAACTACACATCTATATGCCAAATTATTTAATAAATCGTCAACAGAATCTTTGTTGTTGGAGAATTCAAAATCACTGCACCTACAAAATATAAACAACCCCTTAAGGAAAAAGAAAACACTGTGCTATCATACATACCCTTTTTCAGCAATCTGTTTTTGCAGTTTCTGAATTTTTAAATCCAAACGCTTTTTTAACTCCCATTCTGTAATATCACCAACAAAGGTAGTAATATCCATTTATTGATATGTTTTATCAGTCTTTTCTAACTCCCTTTGATAAGTATATCTACCACGTACCTTTTATTATCAAGCATTTACACATATAACTTTCTGTTATTAAAACTGAAACCGATTGAAACCGTTACTAATTCTTTCTTCTTTCCTTATTCAAACTGTAATCCATAGATAAGCTGTAATTCAACTTTCGTCAGAGGCACCAATATTTCAAGCATTAAATTCAAACGTATAATCAAAATATTACTATAATTGCAAAAACATATAAGAAAGATTGTACTAGTTAATAAATGACTACAGTAAATAGTACTGTACAGTATGTTTAAAAAACAATTTTCTCAATATCTCGGCAGCAGCTATTTAAAATTAAATTTTTACTATTGGTATGAACTCTGAGTCTATGATCATGGCATAGATAATGAGAACTGGTTGTGTCTCAATATTTGCCTTCTTCGCCCCTATCAGTCACTGTGAGCTCGAAACTGTTCCCACCATTGCTTAGTAGAGTGGTCGAAATTCACTTTTATGAACAATACCAGAGAAGAGAGACGTATCTCTTCTCTGACAATACTATGACGTAGTGTCGGCCATCATTCTTTTCTAATTGTTGCTGTTGTCGGCCATCATTCTTTTTCAATTGTTGTAGCATTGTTACTGATGTCGGCCATTATGGTTTTTTAATAGATGTATAGTAATCAATGATTAAAATTTAAAGGAATTGTTTGTAAATATGTATGCAACACATCGTACACTTCAGCATAATTGTTTTTACTAACTTTCATTTACGTAATACTACTCTACTCTCTGCTGACAGCACGCATATTTTTTTTATGTATGTAATTAAATGAAGAAAATTGACAAATTTGCTTTTAAATGTTCCAAATGTTTATTTACAATCCCCTCAATTGTTTCGGCTTGTTAAACTTTTTCCAAGAATGAATATGTAATAATTCATTACTATTATATTAATTGGAACTCATTGTACGGCCAAAATATTTAAATGTAATTAATTCCTCAGATGCGCTTTAGGAGTATATTAAAAAGTTAAACAGAAATTGGTTCATTAAACATTGACTATCAGTTTTGATCTCATATTTTGTCTTGTCGTCTAGGTATCTATATCAAAATCTTTTAATAAAAAAACTAAGAAATTTTAATGAAATGATACTCGCTCTTATCTATCACTTTTGAAAAAGATTCAAAGTTGAAGGAAAAACGTGTCTATTACCCAAAAACGTGTTGTAGTAATTATGGGCAAGTGTCTCTTACTTAACTGTATTTATTTACCACAGTTTTTATTACTAAGCATCGTAATTGTAATGAACAAAATAAGAATTACTGGTTTTTACGTTATTACAATTTAAAGTTTAACGGATCCTGATTGGCTATTATATCAGCGGCCATTTTGACGATTCATTTAAACTAGGTCTAGTTTAGCACCTACATTTGATTTAAATGCCATTTCCTTCAAAATTTGGGAAACTGAAGCCTTAATACTTATAATAAGCAATAGTCTACTTTCTATTAAAAGCACAGCAAACGAATTCAGTGGCGTTGGGCGGTAGTTTTTTATTCTAGGAAGTACCTAAAATTGTCCCTTCTTTGTGTAATAAGACGCAGACATACATAAAAATATCCGATATAAAATGCGATATTGAGATGTGGATAGGTACATATCTTCGATGTCTTTTTCGATAATTTTTTGACTTAAGTGGGGGTAGAGGGTTACATCTACAATCTTTAGGAATCTTCGAAGATGTAAACTCTCATGAAATTAGCCGGATGAGCAGTAAATCAGATATGTACAATTTAGACAATTTGGGCTTTACCTACATTAAATTCCTTATTACTTGGGAACAAAGTTCAATTCGTTCAGATGAGTCAATTCCAAACGAAACGTTATCCTATCTGGAAAAAATGCTTTACGTGATTGCCATGATGCACTGCAAGCAGGATAACAAAAAGTATTGTAGCGTCAAGAATTCAGATAATTTGTATCTGTATTTACTGTTATTTTTTTTAACGTAAAATGAAGAGATATTTTCCGCCTCTACAATTTTACCTCTTTGAGTTGTAGCCCGTTCAGTCCATACGTAAATACCTATGCCATCGGGGTTGTTAGAGGTAGCGTCCTGTTTAAATCAAATGGACTACTTTATATTCAAATAAAAAGGCAATTGTTTCGAAAGTGAACAGAAACTTGCGAAATGGCCTTAGTAAAAGGGAAAACGAAAAAGATAAACGAAATGATGGCGTTTGACTCTCTTTCCAGACCTTTTGATACTTCTCCTAAATTCCAAATTGTTAAATAAACTCGGTTCGTTTTCTTGTTGATGATCTCGGAATTCAGGCTTGAGTTGTTTAACTTGGTAAGCGATGCCATTGTTATTCCGTGGTGGTAGATCTGGAGTGCCGTTTTCCGCGCCACTTCGCTCGTTCTTGATTGGCTCGTTGGGCCGCAGGGAAACAATTACCAATCAAGACTGCCACCGTCGTTACGCTGCTGATGTCGTCTCACCACTGCTTAAGCTCAAGTTCCTATCTGGTGGTTGCTCTCCTATCTCATGTACACAAAGACACCCCTATCCGTTTTGTCGTTAAAACATGCAGCTCGATTTACTTATAATTTCTACCAAAATTATGTATACAGATACCATTGCTTTCTACCCTTTACATTTTAAAAAGTCATCTACAGAAATTTTATGTACGAGGGTGGATTGATAAGTTTCCGGCCTGACCAAGAAAAACAAGGTTTTTAAAAATTTTTTTTTTTTATTTCTCAACATAATCTCCTCCAAGGCTGATACATTTCTCATAGCGGTGTTCCAGTCTATTAATGCCATCTCTATAGACTGATTCGTCAAGCTCCTCAAAATAACCATTTACAGCTTCGATTACTTCTTCATTGTCCGCAAATCTCTTACCGCCAAGCCATTTTTTGAGATTAGGGAACAGAAAATAGTCACTCGGGGCTAGGTCTGGAGAGTAAGGAGGGTGCGGCATCAATTCAAACTTTAGATCGTTGATTTTAGCCGTCGCAACGATTGACGTGTGCGCTGGTGCGTTATCGTGATGAAACAAGATTTTTTTCTTCGCCAGATGAGGTCGTTTAATTTTCACCTCGTGGCTCAAACGTTGCAATAAGTCTGCGTAGTATTGACCAGTGATAGTATTACCCTTTGCAAGGTAATCAATGTATATAATACCTCTTGCATCCCAAAAAACAGTAGCCATAACCTTGTTCGCCGAAAAAATTGTTTTTGCCTTCTTTGGAGTTGGTTCCCCTGGTCCAATCCACTGTTTAGACTGTTCTTTGGTTTCAGGAGTGTAGTGGTGGACCCACGTTTCGTCAACGGTTACGAATCGACGCAAAAATTCGCTTGGATTACGCTTATACAATGACAAATTTGCGGTAGAAATGTTTTTTCGAATCAATTTTTGGTCGACTGTTAGCAAACGCGGCACCCATCTTGCACAGAGCTTTTCCATGTGCAAATGTTGGTGCAAAATATGTTGCACACGTTCATATGACATCTTACAGGTCTCAGCTATCTCACGCACTTTCAATCTGCGGTCTCCCAGCACTATTTGATGAATTTTTTCGATCATATCTGGAGTTGTGACCTCAACGGGGCGTCCTGAGCGAGGCCCATCAGAGGTGCTCACACGACCCTTTTTAAACTCGGAAACCCACTGCTTAACGGTTGAATATGACGGGGAGGATGTCCCCAGTGTTGAGTCCATCTCTTTTTTAATTTCCTTCGGCGTTAACCCCTTCAAATAAAAGTATTTGATGACAGCACGATTTTCCTGCTTTTCCATTTTTACGAAAACCACAGAGGCGTCTTGTTCAGCGTGCTGTCAAACCTACACTAGCAAGGAGATCGGGCTGAAACTATAGCTACAAGCTATCCAAGGATGGTACTATAGAATGTCACCTCAAGGTAGGCCTAGTGGCGTCATCTCTTGGTTAGGCCGGAAACTTATCAATCCACCCTCGTATAGAATATGAAAATAATCATAAATTTAATAACATATATTTTTAAGTTATTAACACAATGATAAATAAAGATCCTACATCATTAACAGATGGTGTTGAACAAATGCTTTTCTCTTTTTGAAGATTTTCTGAAAGGGACCGTACATAAAATACGTTCGCAATTAGGGAGGAAGGAGGGATGTTTATTTGGAAACAAAGGGTACACTTAATTTAATGCTGTCGATAAGGGGGCATTCTTACAGTGCTCAAAAAATTTCGAGTTGTGTAAACTATTTCTTTACAAAAATAATTTTAAAAAGCTTCAAGTAGAGAACTCTGTACTGCCAATAGGTGTATTGATACTATCCTGATTCCTGTGGATCCACATCTAACATCGCAGATGGAAGAACCTATGAAGAATCTCGCCACTCCACTAAAGATTTAATAACAGATAGCTCAACTTGAAGCCTTTTTAAATTATTTTGGTAAAGAAATAGTTTTTTGGGCACTCTAAGAATGCTTCAATTGCGCTAAACTACTACAGCGAACTATTTTAGGTTTAGAATGTATTGATCCTCATTCTTCGTCGATCTTCTCGATAGTAAATAGATCTTATAAATTGAGTTTTGCCTTTTTTCATTTTTCTTTCATTCATAATACGGAAAACTGATTTATTATCAAATTACCCTTAACATAGCCCAAAAAAATGAGCTAGAAAGACTAATAATGCGGCGGTGAATAAAAAAAAAAGGAAAAGAAAAGCTGCTACACTTATTGGTACACGTTTAGCGAATAGATAATATGTAGTTGTCGTATCCGGAGAAGTGAAAGAAAAGCGAGCAAAGGAAGCGAGCACTTCGATGTAATTTGCTAAAAGGTTTTGTCTAAACGGACGGGCTGGCGCTTAACTTAACAACTGATTCGAAATCATGTTTTTATGTATGAGATACGAAGAGCGTAACGGCCGATTTGGTTTACGCTTTTTGACCTTTTATTTTCTAAATTAAATGTGATGGCCTGGCGCAACATTATTGCCGTTTGCGAAACATCAACCCCCATAACCGGGCTAAATGTGCGGTTTCCTTGGAAATCGAGTAAATGAAAACTATTGTATAGACCAAAAAGACTAGTGTAGACATATGCACTTTTATCAAAGATAACGGACGTTTGTCTTAAATAAGGAAAAACCTATTTATTGAAAATGACTTAAAAAAGTCCAATTATATGGAAATCTCGGCGAAGGCAAATGATTTTTTGTAAATAAACAGTTTACAGACATGTAACCTCTGCAAATTTAACAATCGTAGGTGGTAAAAGTACTAAAACAAGTATTGTATTTGGAGAGGGGGTTGTAAAAGTCTCTCCTAGGGGAGAGGGGGAACTTTTACTCTCCATACTCTTGTCTACACCTCGGGGGATTTTCCTAATCCATTTCATAACACAGAAACGTTAAAAAAGATAATCCCAATACGTATATTTTGAAAGAAAATATTGAGGAAAACTGTTTTTCTTCTAAAAGAAAATAATTAATTGTTACATCCCCCCCATATACCCTACTTTAATTTTTCTGAATTTTAAGAACAATTTCGGCATAAGCCAAATAAGAAATGAATAAATGTCGTCTAAGCTGAAGAAAGTTGAAACTATTTTTAAAAGATAAGTAGGAATAAGCGGACGGAAATGGATGAAATCTGCCGTCTTATTGGCGTCAGAGGAGCAGAGAGCAAATAAAATAAAACAATCGAGAGACTGTTCCGCTTCTGCTGATGGCGCGGGGTGCGAGAAGGGGTAGGTAATTCCCGTTGCCGATTGGCTGAAAACTTTTAGATTAGTCGCAATCTTCGTAATTTTGGTCGAGAAAGTCATAATTTATCGGCGACCATTCCGGGGGCTCGTTCTCCCTCCTACACTGAAGTCATCAGCGTTCCTTCGTTTTCTCTCCCGGCTCGCCAACTTATTTCCCGTAGAACGAAATGAAAAAGTTCGTTCAAGTGGAAAACTTATTAAGGTTCGATTTCTGATACTGTAAGAATGTTCTTTTTCTGCAATTGTACCTACCACAATACACCGAATTCTCTCTTTATCTTTCTGTATTCAATGGTAGTGTAATGTGACGAAAAGGGATTTTACAATTTTTTTTAAACTTTCTAAACTAATCGAACTGTCAGAGTTCTTTTACGAAACTTTAAATTGCAGTCGTAAGACATATACTAGCTTATTATTTATATGAAAAGACGACTGAAGGTATTATTCGAAGAATCTCTCTCTACCACGTTATATTTTTAAAAAAATAATGTTGCCCTTTGACTTAATACTTAGAATATCCTCTAGGTGCGGTGCTGAAGTCGCCTATTCTGTATAATACTTAACAGCTATTCGGATGTGGTGTTTCCATAGGTCGCAGGGACAAGTACCAAAAATGAAATTAAAAAGGTCTCTTCATTCTACATTAATTAGAAAAAAGGGTGCGGAACGATCAGTACCACGAGTCATTCGTGCGAGACCAAAGCTTTTTTGACTTGAAAATTTATATAAGTATATACTAGGTATATTCTATAATTCCCAAGAATTCGTTGCAGTTTTCTAGTCTAAAAAGTTAATCAGGAAGAAAATCTCTTGATTTCACATACTTTAAATGTTTCTTGATTGATCTAAGGTGGCTTTTCTAAGTTTCGAACAAGCTGTAACATGCGCACGAACCCACGCAGTTAGAACGCCGAGAGTTATTAACCGAGCTGAAAACGCCGACTAAGTAATCGTGGAAATTAGTGGTTAAAAGTGATTAAAAAAGATTGAAAACGCGTACATTACGTTCAGTTACAGTGTTTATTAATATTGTAATCGGGAAAACATTTGAACAAATCGTGAACATAGTTTTTATTCGCAATTAGCATCAATTTGTCTTCGTGCGATTACTACACGCTAATGAGTATGCGCGAAATTCTCAGTGATCCGTTTACCGAAGAAATGTACTCGTGGTTTCGTCGGTTTAAGTGGTTTAAGACATTTAATTTACGAGATTACTTTTGTTTAATTGTACATTAAAAACTTTATTAGTGCCCGCGTTCCGGTATCGCGTTTCGGTAAAAGTGATGGTCGAAATTTGTTCTACAATCCTGGTATTGCTGCAGTTATACTGTAAGTTTTTATTGAATTTGTTTTTTTTTTTCTAATTAAAAAAACCGAGAGGTAGGTGAATATCGCAAATTGTGATATATTGTTTTAGTATTTATTATACATGCAGGACAATGAAAAATAATTGTTCTGATTATAACAAGTTTGCGATGGTTTTAAAGTGTAAAACGTTGAGGTTAAACGAATACTATTTTAATTAGAAAAGAAAAGGTAACGTCCTGTTTTTCAACTTACCTGGTCCAAATTAAGAAAGAAGAGGATACGTATAAATTTCATGCGGCAAACAAAAGGGACGAATCATCTGTAGATTTTGTATTTAACATAATAATTAATTAGTATTCAAAAATGAAGCGGATACCCTCGTTTGGGGTTGTAAAGGTTAAATTAAACTCGGCGTAATTAATATTCTTAAGAAAAATTTTGAATAAATATCCATAAATCATTGTAAATTGTAAAGCGACAAAGTAGTGTAGGTATTATTGGAAGAAGGCTCTGTAAAGGTGCGAAAAATAAGAAGTTTGAAATGTGGTGTTATAGGTGGATGATGATAATAGTATACCTAATATACGGACATTCCCTTTTGGTTTACTACATATCATGATTTTGTTCTGATAGGATTTGAGATTGCTATTGATAACACAACACAAAACTATTATAAATACATTTAATAACATCTTATATACAGCTATCGATACAAATCAATTTGACAGGTATTTTGTATAATTAGTTAGGAACTTTAAAATATTTACAACGACATGCCCCGTTCTCTAATACGTAAAAGAATATTTATGTCCAGGGTGGAAAAAAGAAAAGATTTTTTCTGATTCTTTTACATCAATGGAACGATGGCAGTAAAAGGAGACAACGATATCGTACATTATCTAGATGTCTAGATTATACTCAGTATATACAAAGTACCTACCCGTATATATGTTACCTACCAAACCCGAAAAGCTAGTTTTGCCTAGGCCAGGTTGCCCTCAATTTAAATATAACATTACCCGATTTCTGGATGAACAAGTTTAACCTGGACAAACTAGTTTGTCCTAAAATCGGATTTGGCCAGCAACAAGTTCAGAACAAACCACTTTGGACTAGGTCAAACCGGTTTATCCTTCCGGTTACTGGATAAACAAGTTTAACCTGGACAAACTAGTTTGTCTTAAAATCGGATTTGGCCAGCAACAAGTTCAGAACAAACCACTTTGGACTAGGTCAAACCGGTTTATCCTTCCGGTTACTGGATAAAATGGTTTGGCCTAGAAAGAACGAGTTTATCCTAAAATTGGGGTTGACCAGTAAAAATCCCAGAATGAACCACTTTGGATTTGACCAAAATGGGTAACGATATAGCTCTTGGATTGAACTAGTTTGGCGTATACAGAATTAGTTTATGCTGAAAACGGGTTTAGCAGGTAAAATATTGAGGACAAGCGACTTTGGACGAGGCCAAAATAATTTAACCTAGGCAATCAGGTTGGGACGGTAAAATATACACGAAATTAGCGTCATGGCCAGCACAGGTATCATCTATGTACGCTTCAAACTCTAAAGAAAACAACAATGGGAAACAAAAAGATATTTGAACTTTAATTCCTTTCGGTTTTGTAGTATTGTTTTAACGAAAAGATTAACAGAATGATCATCTTCTTCAAAAAAAGCAACTTGCATCTATATCATCCTTTATAGACGCACAATTTGAGTTTTAGTCCATTTTTACTGACATTGGTCCTTCAAACATGTACTGCATCGGTAATATAAGTACTTAATCAAACACTTGAACATAAAACTGCTCAAAATCATATGTAAAAACACTCACGTAACCAAAAACGAACTTGGTTTATGGAAAAGTACATTTTTGTCCTACGGCTAAAGGTGCAGTAAACCGAATTATTTACACAACATACGGCCGATAAAGTGGTTCAGTTTCGTGAAGTCGCAGTGTTGTGTTACTTTGAGTGGACTCGTTACTTTGGATGTGGTTGTCTGATGTACTGTCCTGTTGACTCACACTCGTGTTGGATTTGCTCGAAGATGAATGAATCGAATTGAGGCTTGTTTGGCGTTTCTCTGACTGACTGCTTTCTGATTCCTTGTTCATTTTGCTATCTTGTTGCGCCTTTTTGCTTCTCTTCCATTTCATTCGACGGTTTTGAAACCAAATCTTTACCTGAAAGAAAATACAGACTGCTACCAACAAGAAATAAAAGTGTGAAAGAGGAAAGTCGCCTAATTTTTGGACTATTTGCTAGCAAGAAAACTTTAAAGGGGACTTTTCATTTATTAATAGGTAATAGTTGATATTCGGGTTTGATGGTCTAGGAATGTTCCTCCATCGGTGAGAATTCCGAGTCGCTTATCCAAAGTTTCGTTAACAGGTCCGGTTAGCATCCTCAGAGAACATATTTACCAGAGGCTATTGAGTCTCATTACAAAGGACTTTATGCCTTCGCTATGTTCCTGCCGCAAAGTTAGTTGGATGAACAATTCCATCGGAGTTTTCACCGAAGGAGAAATGATCGTAGACCGCGTTAATCAAGCATTATATAACTCTTTTTAAGATAGTCACTGTTTAATAAACATTGTGTTATTTATAATCATATTATTGGATATAGGAAAAAGACGCTACCATTTAAAATTGTTTATTCTAATATTAATGAAAACGAATGGATCTGCAATAGCGCTAAGGCTTCAGAGTTACGTCGTGGTTACGTCCGCAATAAAAAGACGGTGCAAAGCTGAGCCTTGCGAAAAGATGATAAAGAAATAACGGAAGAAATTCCAGTCGGAGCTGACAAAATCACAGGAGCGTTCAGACATGATAAATCCATGTCACATTTCGAGCAGTTAGTCATCGCAATCCTAAAATACGACTTCTGTCTACTTGTTTGAATTAGAGATTTGCACGCCCATAACTTTAAGCATACGGCTACGGACCCACCAAAACACACAGTGCAGATCCTAGTCCAAAGTAAAATTTCGAGTTTTTCAAACAATTTCTAAATGTTCTGGATCTTAAAGTGTTTATAGTTGAATATCTCATCAAGCGAACGCATCTATTAACAAATTCAGCAGGGTTTAATGCGCTTACCTGAGTTTCTGTGAGCATTAAACTGGTGGCCACTTCGAACCGTTTGGGCCTTGAAAGATATTTGTTTTGCCTAAATTGTTTCTCTAGTTCCAAAAGTTGTTGTGAAGTAAAAGCAGTTCTAGGTCTTCTAGTTTTGCCCAAGATCGCATGTCCTGGCGTACAACCTGTAACAAAAAAAAAAACATTGTTATAATAAACGAAAAGTCTCTCAAAGCACCGGCAATTCAACAACAGCAAATTTAAATGGGACAAGATGTTAAATATAGTTTAAAATATAGGGATGAGTTATAAAGATAGAAGAGTGATACTTAGTTTATACAAAGAAAAACAGGCAGTTATAGAGCTGGGGCTGCAACGTAGAGAAGTAAATATTAGGAAGGGGGTCAAACAGAGATGTACACTGTCGGCGCTACTTTTTAATCTATACATCGAAGACGCGATCAACATCATTAAAAACAGCACAACTGTAGGGATAGATATACAGGGGCAAAAGATTAGTATGCTTAGATTTGGAAAAGAAAAGGTTAGAAATGAAGAGGTATTAGAAAGAGTACGAGAACAGAGGGCTCTACGGAAGTCAATAAGAAATAGGCGAGATAGGTTGGTAGGACACCTTGTCAGGCATGGAGGAATAGTCAGAGACATATTCGAGGCAGAAACAGGACTTAAGAATAGTTAGTTAGCCAATAGTTAAGGATGTGGATTGTTCTAGTTTAAGAGAAATGCGAAGTTTAGCTCAGGATAGGAAAGAGTGGAGGTACGTGTCCAACCAGTCTTAGGACTGACGACTTTACCTACGATGATGATAGTAAAATGACCGTTACTAACGGACAAATATAGACTTATAAGTAATCTATAGTAATTTTGCTTTTCTGCTTTTGATAAAGGATATAATAGGAATGCATTAATATATTAAATATTTCTCCGTCGGAATGAGAGTCCCATCTGTGTCAATAGAGTTGTACTTCTACTAATTTATTTATAATTTTTAGTAATTAAATCTTTTGTCGTAATTTTGTTCTTCTAGTCCAGCCGCATTCGTTTAAGTGTCTTTTAGAATTCATTAGGAAAGGAAACATTGAAACTGCTTTTTAATTTAAAAAAGTCTACATTATTTTTAACACATTTCGGCATATACCACATTCACATTTCCTACGTATTTACACCGCAATTAAACGGTTAATTAAAAACCAATGGTAGTTGTTGATACGCCATTTACCAAGAATTTCAATGTTGCAAAATAGAAGTAAAACAGTCACGCGTCAAATATTCGACTATTATTTTTTCACAAACTGTTAAATGCAGACGTTTGACCCAGAACCGCATAAGTACATTGTAAGTAATGTAAAACGTTTGAAAATGTACATTACGGGACATAATAATTAAATTTAATAGACACATTTAGTTAACGCTAAGTAATTAGTCTTTTTGAAGTTTGTTACATCGTTAGGAAGGCATATTAAATTGAGGACATGTTAGACTCAGATGCCAGATGGCAGATCTTGACCTGTTCAGTACAGAAGTATCAACACGAATCATTTATAACTTGCTTAACAAATAAGTTATCACTTGCTTAAACAAGTTACTTGCCTTAAAAATTCGTAAATTTGCTTGTAAAACAAGTTGGTAACACGCTTGTTAAATTAAGTCATTATCATCATCATTATAAGGTCGTCAGTCCAAAGACAGGTTGGACAGATACCTCGTTTGTTTCCTATCCTGAGCTAATCTTCGCATTTCCCTCAAACTATCCTTAACTATTTGCGAACAGTAATCTAATCTAGGCCTACCTCTACTCCTCCTTACTTCCGTTTCTACCTGTAAAATATCTCTGACTAGACCTTCGTGCCTGAGAAGGTGTCCTACCAATCTCTCTCGCCTATTTCTTATTGACTTCCATAAAGTCCTCTGTTCTCCTACTCTTTCTAATACCTCTTGATTTCTAACCTTCTCTATCCACGGTATCCTCATCATTCGTTTGTATCACCACATTTCGAACGCTTCTAGCCTTCTTTTTTCCGCTTGCTTTATTAGAAGCCGTTTCCGAAAGTTAATTTTAATTGCACTATTGTGACTTTCTTCTATTCTTGCATGCATTCTTGCTGCTGCCGGTAGCCCCAATCCGATCTTGATCTTCAGTAAGCAAGTGTCTCGACTAGTTCATCTTGATATTGTCTTGTAACTCTATGAACATCTTGTTATTGATATCGTTTTGATTTTCTTCTTGAAGGCAAGAGAAGATCGATACATTCTTGACTATTTCAGGATCCCTAGATATGACTATAAACCCGTAATACAATAAAATAAATTTTCGATTAGATCAATAACTTTAGTTCCCGTTCGTTCCACCTTGTTCAGTTACATTTTTAGAGGGGAAAAGGGGCACCCTAAGCTCAGCTTTATAATAACGTCTAATTTGTGTCCTAGTTTTAACTCAACCGTTTAATCCCAGCTAGTTTTATTATTTCGTTTAGTATCAGTCCTTTTCGTCAACGGCTCGATCATTGTTTTTCGTATTGCCCTTAGGTGCATCAACGCCAACACCATTCAAACGGATAGAAGGGAGAAACGTTTAGGGGTGTCGTTAAATGTATTACGATATTAAATTATCATGACAAAGGTGCAATCAGGGGGTTGTAGTGATAAATATACTACAAACATACGGCCCTTCTGGCCACAGGCTTCCTGCGCAATATGGTGACAAATTGAACGGCCCTCTACGACTTATGAATAATTAAATAAACACTAGCTGTACCTTTTTGCGAATAATCTTAATCCTGAATGCTGACATTACGAAAACGCACGGATGAACTGTTTTCAATTAAGAATTTCGGTAGAACAACTCGAATACAAACAAGATTATCAACGATCAGACTGTGTAGATACAGCTAGAGATGTGCAAAATTAGGGTTGCAAATAATTTTATTGACAATCATTTTATATCAAAATATTTACAACCCTATTTTGTTTCCGATTTTTTACATATTGTAATAAGAGAAAGAAATGGAATCCATAGTTTCTTTAGCTTTGGGTTTATCTAATAAGTATTATAGTGTTT